GGGCGCGGGCTGCCTTCGTCGGGCTCCAAGCTCGCCCGGAGCGAGCGGCCGCCCGCGAGCCGCCGCGGAGCCTTCTCGCCCGCTCCCGCCGGCGAGCAAGGTAAGGGAGCGGGAAACTGAGGCAGGCTCGGGGCGGAGCGGAGCCCCAGGCGCCGGCCCCTTCCCGCGGCGGCTGCGCGGCCGATTCATGTCAGCCCCGGGTGAAGGGTGCACTCCCGGGGGCCGAGGGCGGGGGGCTGGGGACGAGGTCCGCGGCGCCGGGCCGGTGGGAGAGCTCTGCGAGTGCCCGCGGGACTCCCGGAGGACGCGCCCCTGCCCTCAGGGACGCGCTGTGGGGACCGCCCGCCGCCCCCGCCCCGAGCGCCCGGTGACCCCGGCGCCGGGGGTGAGCACCTGTGGCCTCTAGAAGCCCCAGCCCAGGCGGCGCTCCCGCTGTGAGTGGTTCTCCCCACCCCGGCTGGGGTCCGGGGACCCTGCAGCACCGGGCGCGGGTGGGAGTGGGGCAGAGGCGATCGCCGTCAGGTGCGCGGTCCTGGGCATCTCCCTCGCGGGGCTCCGCCGAGCCCGGCATGCCGCCGGCAGCCTCAGGAACCGGCTCCCTTGCCCCTCACCCCATCATTATATTCGAGACACTGAGTAGCCTCTCATAATCTCATCTTTCACTTTTCTTTCCTTCCTAGCCGTCCCCGGCTGTATCGACCTGCTGTGTTTCCATTGTGGAATTTTTTTTTTTTCGGTCTGTTAGCTTACATAAGTTAGGTTGCCTGACCAACCATTGAAGCCGTTGGAAAACTCCTGTCCCAACCCTGAACGAATCCAGCCCTTTTAGCGCTCCCCAAACCCAGCCCAAGAGTTCAGGGAGCCGTCAGTCCTTCCCAGGAGCTGACTGCACACATTCCTGTAAGATGCCTGATGGATTTTGTACTTGTCAGTTTTACTGGCTTGTATGCCCCTTCTGTGCTTTTCCTGAAAAGTGATTGGGTGGCATGTGTTTTGACTTTCTCTCCCCCACCGGGAAATAGAAAAAAAAAAAATAGGTTACAGAAGCATGCTTGTTTTCAACAACTGGAAAGTACAGCCTTGCAAACCAAATACCGAGGGTTTGTTCGTTATGCGAAGGGTAGTTTTTGGTCTTTACCCCTTCCTTGAATTGTTGTCTATTGGTGTCTTCATCTTGTGCGTTCCATCGCTTAGGGTTTGCGCGTGTATTTTTTCCCAGAGCGTAATTATCAGGCCTGAGAATAAAGGGACTGTCAGCCGTTCGTTTTTTAGCGACAGGTAGCGGCTATAAATTTGCAGATTTGTGGGAGCCTTTATTTTGCACTTAATGACTGTAGTCTGGGTCTTTCATTTCAAGATGATGTGCGAGGTGATGCCGACTATCAGTGAAGCAGAAGGCCCCCCAGGAGGAAGTGGGGGCCATGGGTCCGGCTCCCCTTCGCAGCCAGACGCAGATTCCCATTTTGAACAGTTGATGGTCTCCATGCTGGAGGAGAGGGATCGCCTTCTTGACACGCTGAGAGAGACGCAAGAAACACTGGCATTAACCCAGGGGAAATTACACGAGGTTGGCCATGAAAGAGATTCCTTGCAGAGGCAGCTCAATACTGCGCTTCCACAGGTATGCTTTACACGTTTTTTTCCACTAATTTTTTTTTTTATGGTGTCATTTTCTTTGGTGTTGATATTTTTAGATGAGTATTTTGCGTAAGCATTTGTGAAATGGTTCTGGTATTTGTAAGTCACGTATACATCAGGTTCCTGAGGATGACACTTCTTAGGGAGAACAAACTCTGTGGTCCTCTAAAGTCGTGTGAAAACACCTCATAACTCATGTTTCTTTCTTCAAGGCAGCAGAAGGAACTGCCTGCATTTGGGGTAGTGCTCCAGAGTTTTTGAAAATGGGCCATGAAGCAGCTCTGTGGTGCCTTTCAAGCTGTTGTCTTAAGCCATTTTTTGCTAAATGTGTATTTCGCATGGATTGATTGTACCATGTATTTCCAGTTTCCTAATGATAGTCAATGGACAAATAGGCTTGGTTTCACAGGAAAAATATTTTTACAGCCACCTTTACCAGAACAGCCGTGTTTTGTAAGTCAAATTTGTTTTAGGGACTAGAATACTGGAGATGGGTTCCTCTGGAGCATTCTCCTTGGCAGATGAGAATGATAAAGCTTAGAACCCACTGGAGTTGTTAATCTAAGTATATTACATTTGGACCAGTGTTTCACGGCCTTTTCTTATGGAGCCGAGTGAGGATTTAATGATAGGTGAAGGGAGAAAGTGTCAACTGAAATGTAAGGTAAATGGCACAGAGCGTCGTGGGAGATAGGAAGGTACTTGGGTGTTTATGAGCTGTCTAGGTGCCGTTTTACTTATTCATAAGAGGTGCCTTTATGCTTCCAGGTAGACCTGAATACGCATACATTTATACTCTCATGATGGGGCTGCAGTGGTAAATTAGTAAATGAATAATTACTAGCCTTAATGCGTTTCTTGGCTTTAGTCAGTCCTGAAAGATTGATAAGCTAAGCATTTGGATTTCCTTTTTAGCAACAATAATTTGATGTCAGTGCTGTAATGTTCCTTTTTTTTTTTGGATTAGAGGCTCATTAAGATTTTTCTCATTCGCATATTCTAAATTACTAAGTTTGTTTAGGTCATATTTTGTTACCAGAAGCTTAAAAGGATTGGCTAAATTATGTTTTACCTGGATTTTATTGTGTTTGTAAATATTTTCAGTTGTATATATATATTTTTTTGTAATTGTTTTAATGTAATTCGAGGAACATACTCAAGTGTAGTCAGATACACATTTGAAAAGGTAGTTTTTTGAAGGAAGCAGCACAGGACGTAACAAGGAAGGGACAGGAGTTTCGTGCAGCACAGCCTCTTGCGGCACAGGATGTCACACCAGTGGGGCGAGACGTTGCTCAATGATTTGTTTCTAGCTACTGCTCAGTGTGGTAACCTGGAAATGCCTCATTGAGTAGAGAATGTGGTGATGTCACCTGTTCACCTCATGGCCTGAGCACCTGAGTCCAGCATTTCAGAAACAAGAACCATTTGGTAAACGTGTTTTGGACCCTTCCCTTTCCTTTGTCTCATGTTCGGTGGCTAATAGTGTAGCCAGACAGACACACGAGTACGATAAGTGCATTTATATTTCTGGCACATTATGTAGGCAAGTAATGATATACTTTAAAAACTGTAACTATAACATACATCAGAAAAATTCACAGATCACAAGTGTTCATCTCTGAACGCTTCACAAAGTGAACACACGCTCGTAACCACCACCTAGAACAAGGAACAGAACGTGACCAAGCTCCCCAGCAGCCCCTCCTACCCACTCCCAGTAGTTGTCCCCCAGCGCGAACCGTGCTCTTGACTTTTGCCACTGACTGTTTTGGCACGCTCTGGACTTTATGTAAATGAAATAAGGTAAAATGTGTGTTTTCTTTCTTGATTCTTTCATTCAGTGTTATGTTTGTGAGCTGCATCCATATTGTCTCATGGAGCGTGTTCATTGTCATCTGCTGTCTAGTAAACCGACATATGAATGGGTACACCGTAAATGGATTCTTCCTACTGTTCGGGGGTACCTGGGTTTCCAGTTTCTGCAAGTGCTGCCCTGAATATCCTTGCTTGTTTCATTTCCCTTTTTTGGTGCAGCTATGTAAACAGTTCTACTAGGTGTTTTCAAAGGGGTGACGTTGCCGAGTGATGGAGTGTGCATGTGACCAGCCTCAGAAGACACTGCCCAGGGTGGTGGTGACAGTTTGCACCAGCACCAGCGGTGCCTGAGCAGTCAGTTGTTCTCTAACACCTGGTTTTGTCAGTCCTTTCCTTCTCGCTGTCTGGTGGGTGTTGAGTGGAAGGACCTTCATCAGGCGTGACCTTCCTGCTCCCTGATGACCCACCCGTCGCCTGCAGAGGCAGAATTGCCCTGTGTGTGCTTGTTGGCCATTTGGATGTCTTCTCTTGGGAGGGGATTGTCTTTTGCTCATTTTTGGGTTGGGTTATTTGTTTTGTTTCTTACTGATTTGAATGAGTTCTTGTTATATATTGAGTACATAACATGTATGTATGGCAGATTTTCTTTTGCATTCTTGAGTGTTTGCCTTTTCATTCTTTCACTGGTGTCTTGGTAAACGGAAGTTTTCATTTTAATGTAGCCCAATTGATACTGTTTGTTCATTGAAAGATATCATGAAGTTCATGAAGATATTTGTCCTGGAAAAGCTTTATTTTTTTACCTGTCACATTTAGGTCTGTAATCCATCTGAAATTGATATTTGTTTATGGTGTGAGATAGGGGCCAAGATTCCCTTTTTTCCTTAAATATATGGATAGCCACTTGAACTCACATACCATATTTTGCTGTGTATAATGCACTCCCATGTATAATATGCACCCATGTTTTTGGCACAAACTTTCAAGGAAAAAATCTTTTGTTTTAATTTTTTAATTCAAATTTTTATTTGTTTACATTTAGGTACTTGCTTTTTGTATTATAAAGGAATTTTAGCATTTCTTTTTAAACATATTATGGTACAAGAAATTTTATGTAACAAATAATTACAAAACACAAGAACAGATACAAGGTACAAGAAATTTTATGGGGCCGGTCAAGTGGTGCAGTTGGTTAAGAACTGGCTTGGGACCCCAGTTCGGATCCCACATGGGGGCCAGTGACACTGCCCTCCACAGCTAAGATGGTGAACAACAACTTGACCTGGAGCTGGGCTGCCATGAGTCGCCGGCGATGGCGTAGGCTGCAGCCCCTGCTGCAGTGGGCTGCCATAAGCTACCGTGTGTGGCTGGCAGCCAGCGTGAGCAGCTGGCAGCCGGTATGAGCTGCGAAGAGCCGCCGTGAGCAGCCGTCCAGAGGCCAGCGACCGATCTGCCTCTCCCAAGAAGAGCGCAATGATAATACCAACATGGGCCAGTGAAGCAACGTCCTCCACAGCTAGACTGAAGAACAAAAGGACAGCAACTTGTCTGTTCCCCTTCCCCAATTCCCCAACGCTGTTCCCCTCTCCCAATTCCCCAATAAAATCTTTTAAAAAAAAAAAAAGAAATTTTATGTACCGGTAACAAGTTTACGACATTTATGCCTCATAGAAGGCCAAGAACTCATCTCTGTTGCAAGTTCATCCTAAGTTCAACAAAACCAATGATGATCGTATTCCAGGGTATTATTTTGCATACGGATATCGTTATTGATTTCTTAAGTTACACTTTTAACTCATAAGCATAAGTAAAAGAATTTAAAATATTTATATAGATATGGAATCAGTACTACCCATGTGTAATGTGCATCCTTATTTTTCCCCACAAATTTGGGCAAACAAGTGCACATTATACACAGCAACGTATGGTAATTTATTGAAAAGGCCATCCTTTACCCAGTGCACTGCAGTGTCATCTCTGTCATAAGTCACGTGACTGCAAATGTATGGCTCTGTTTCTGCACTCCCCTCTGTTCCGTTGATCTTTCTGTTATCTTTGCACAAGTGCCATAGTGTCTGAATTACTGTAGATTAAGTCAGTCTTGGTATCTGGTAATTTAAGTCCTCCAGCTTTGCTCTTATTCATGATTACCTGATTAATCTTGACCTTTGTATTTTCAGATAAATTTTAGGATTTGCTTGGCAGTCTCTCCCTAGAAACTGTGGTGGGATTTTAATTGAGATTGCATTTAATCTGTAGATCAGTGTGGGGAGAAGTGACATCTTTTTAATACTGGTCTTATGATCCATGAACACAATATAGGGTTATATTTATTTAGATCTTTAATTTATCTTAATATTTTTCAGTTTTCTGTGTGTGTGTGTGTGTGTGTGTGTGTGTGTGTGTGTGTGATGTTTAATTCTTAGGTATTTTATGTTTTGATGTCATTAAAAATTATATCTTTACAAATTGTGTTTTACTAGTATATGGAGATATAATAGAATTGATTTTTGTGTATTCACTTGCTAAATCCGTTTATTTCTAATAATAATTCTTGTATTTTCTGTGTATACAATTATGTCTGCAAACGACAGTTTCTTTTTTTTCTTTCCCAATGCTATAACCATTTTTTCTTTTTCTTACTTTATTATACAGGCTAGGATCTCCAGTACAGTAGAAGTGGTGAAAATAGGTATCCTTGTGTTGTTTCCAGTATCAGAGAGAGAGCTTTCAGTATTTCACCATTACACATATTTGATGTAACTCCTTTGTAGATACTTTTATCAAAATATGACAATTCTCTATTATTAGTTTGCTAAGTTTTTTTAAATCATGAATTAAATTACATTAATTTTCTTTTAAAATATTTTTCTTTTTCTTTTTTTTTTTTTTTAAGATTTTATTGGGGAATTGGGGAAGGGGAACAGCCGAGTTGTTGTCCTTCAATCTTAGTTGTGGAGGTCGCAGCTAGCTCAGCTCCAAGTCCAGTTGCGCCGCTCAGCTCAAGGTGCTGTGTTCAATTAGTTGCGGGTGAGTGTAGCCACCATTCCATGCGGGAGTCAAACTGGCATCCTAGTTGTTAAGAGCGCACGCTCTATCCCCTGAGCCACCCAGGCGGCTGCTCAGCTCAAGGTGCCGAGTTCAGTCTTTAGTTGTGGGCGGGTG